ATACCCCCTGGCAATCGCGTAGATGGACACTTAAAAATGGCACTTACAAAGACCTGACTTGCGGACGGCAGACTCTTCTTAGGATATCTCACCCAGCCTTTCCAGAAACTCGATGATCCTTTGCGGATTGGCTGAGCTTCCGGAGGCAGACGGAAAACCACCCCGTCTGGAATGCTCCGGCCGAAGACACAAAGTATGATGAAGAAGATGTGGCGCAAGCTCCGCAAAACGGTGCGGCTGAGCCTACTATATGGTTACTATTCCAAGCCGCGTGATAACGGCGTGAATTAATGGTTCACGCTGTTTCCCTTTCTTGTTTAGATTTATCCTTTGTCTACATCCTTTTTTTTTCTATCCAGTTTCTGTCCCTGTATGCCCCAGGGGAAGGGTATTCGGGACGACCACAGTCACTATGTTATTGGCTCTCTAGTTGCTTTTAATCGATGACACATTCATCTTATCAATCGAGGAAGAACAAAAGAAATACTGTGACGGAATCAGGACTGATACATTGTATCAATTTATCACAGTCCAATTGGCTGGCTTTCCTTCTTTCTCATTCTTTACCAGCCTTGCTGCTTATATCCTCATCTAACTTCATTATTTTGGTATCTTAACAATTTTCACCTCCAAAAAGCTAGCCCCTGAATATTTATCCTTTTTTGGCTATTGTGTTCTGCCTTTACTACCCTAGCCGTTCCTTTGGATCTCCGCTTTAGGAATAGATTCAACGCCAGTGGTTTCGAATTCATGTTTTTGCTCGGCTCTTCATTCAGTACGATTGTTCATCCACTCGCAAACCTTAGTGTAACGGAGAATTTTGCCACCCTAATCCATACTAGTATTAGTATATATCTGCTGTCTCCACAGCTCCCCGGATATCAAAACTTTATCCTTGGCCCTTTCACTCTACAGTATCCCTCTTTCTAGTAGAAAGAAAACAAAAGAAAAAGAGGGAAGAAAGGTCTTTTTTTTTTCTGGCCACTTTCGAGCCAATCATAAACTCCAACATATTTGGGAACGTATGGGCTATGGAGAACATGTTCTATGCGTAATGAGAATTCCAAGGTATGGATTGCTCAACCAATGAATGATGCCCCCATATTTTCCAGGGTTTGCCACCTAACTTGTCGTCGAGCTCCCAAACTTTGGAGCGTTTGGAAAATAGAACCTCTATTATCAAACACATGAGCAAGGACTCTTGTCCCCACATCTCGATCATTCTTCTCATTCCTGTGTTATTTTCTGTTTTTGAATCTCATTGTTAGTATGCAAGAAGTATAGTAGTATCAAAAGCAATGTACAGGGTCATTGAAACTGATTCCATCCAGACATTTCTATCAACTTGGCAGGTTGAACTGTCCAAAAATAGACTCCGCCAATTCTAGGTTGGACTGAAACACACGTGACTCGGCCCTGGAGCTAGCGGACTTCGGAGGCTCTGACGACGACATCTAACAACATTATCCTTGTATCATTCACACGCTCCAGCACATCGAGAAATTCGACAAACAGCTGCTGCAGCTCTTGACTTCATCATTTATTTCTCTATTAACGTTATATCTTTGATATTTTTAGCGTTGTTGTTTAGATTCCAGTCATCTCTGCACCAGTTTCTTCCTAATTTTTTCGGTATTCCTAGCTCCCCGACCAACTAAAACAAGTAAGGAATTACAAGGCCGGAAAGTTTCTGAGAACCCATTGCATTCCGAATAGAGCTTTTTGGCTTATCCTTATCCGCAACCTTTCACCGTATCCCTGTCCCCTTCGGTCCTTGCTCCCAGATGCCTTCACCACATCCACTGTCATGATCCTTCGAAGGCTACTACTTGCTGGCAGCTTGCTGCTAGCAACCTCATTCACTAGTGCAAAGAAAGCAGACGGTCCAAAAATATCTGCAACGAAGTTTAAAGATGAACCCGTCAACCTGTTTTACTTCGATGACTCGGATACTGTGATGTTCCAAGATGGGAAGAACGGCGATGTGTACGTCTCAAGGGATGCTGGTGCCAATTGGGATATCGTAGATGTGAGTGGGATGAGGGGAAAGGCCTGGTCCCTTTTGCCGCATCCTACAGACAGGACCAAGGCGTATATAATGAGCAAGGGAGGGACACATTGGGTCACCGAAGATCAGGCCAAATCTTGGCGGGAGTTTACAGTCGATGCGGAGCTCTCGCGGTATGAGTATCCACTCGTTTTCCACGGCAAGGATTCGAATAGGGTAATGCTTCTGGGACACAAGTGCAAGGGGCTCGACTGCAAGGAAAGAACATATTACACGACGGATGGATTCAAAACGGTCCACCTCTTGATGGAGAATGGACGGCATTGTGCATGGGCCGTTTCGACACCAACTTTTGGGGAAGGACTTGACCTGCCGAAGGAGGTGAACGATCGAATTTTTTGCGTTGTGTCGGGATTGCACTCCTCCTGGGCTGAAGCCAATCGCCTCCTCTACTCGGATCGATTTTTCAAGGACGAACAAGGGACTGAAGTTCCACTTGATAACGGCCGTGCAGTGAGTGGCGTCATACGCACCGCGAGTGTGCAGAAGTATATACTGGCTGCGACGAAGTCTGCTAGAACGAACGAGCTGGCGCTTTTTGTGACCGATGATGCATCAACGTGGCACCGAACTGAGTTTGACGGACATAGGGTAGAAGAGGATGCATATACTATTCTAGAATCCACAAGCTACAGTCTCCAGGTTGACGTCGTATCGACCTACTCGTCAACCATAGGCACTCTCTTCACGTCCAATTCAAATGGCACTTACTTTACGCGCAACATCAAACATACAAACCGGAATTTGTACGGGTTCGTCGACTTTGAGAAAATCTCTTCGATACAGGGAATTATTCTTGTCAATACCGTTAAAAACTGGGAAGATGTTGAAAAGTCAAATGGCGTTCAGAAAAAAGTTATAAGCAAAATCTCATTCGATGATGGGCGGACTTTCCAGCCTCTAAAGGTCGGCAAACATGATCTTCACCTTCACTCCGTCACTGATGCAACGAACTCCGGTCGTGTATTTTCTAGCCCCGCGCCTGGCTTAGTTATGGGAGTTGGAAACACAGGCGGCCATCTCAAGGATTACTTGGACGGCGATTTGTTCGTTTCCGACGATGCAGGGATCAATTGGAGGAAAGCTCTGGACGATGCTCATAAATATGAATTCGGTGATCAAGGCTCTGTGATTGTCGCTGTTTTTGATGAAGGGAGAACCGACAAGATTTCATACTCTCTCGACCATGGCAAGAATTGGCACAAGGCTTCCCTACCTGATGGCGTCCAAATTCGTGCCAAAGTGCTAACCACAGCGCCTGGCTCGACAACTTTAAAGTTCCTGTTACTTGGCTCAGCCAAAGCTGACATCGGTATGGAGTACTACATTATTTCTATTGACTTTGCCGAAATGGAGGAACGCACTTGTGAGGAGAAAGACTTCGAAAATTGGCCTGCCAGATTGAACGAGAAAAATGAGCCGGATTGCTTGATGGGCCATAAACAGTTTTACCGACGGAGAAAGGCACAGGCTGATTGTTTCATCAAGAAGAAATTCGAGGAACCAGCTCCTGAATTTGAGCGCTGCAAATGCACGGAAGAAGATTTTGAATGTGACTTTAATTTTGTTCGTGGTGAAGATGGAAAAAGCTGCATCCCATCCAGGTCCTTGATTGCCCCTGAGGGTGTCTGCAAAAACCCTGATGATAAGTTCATAGGTAGCTCCGGATTCAGGCTTATCCCTGGTAACGTCTGTATCAGGGAAGGAGGGGTAGATCTCGATAAACAGACAGAACGCGTTTGCTCGGAGACATTTAAGAACCCTCCTGCTGGCCAAATCGTGGTAGAGAAGTCATTTTTCACAGCAGACTATTACAAAGATTACTTCTACCTCGAACGCAAAGAGAGCAGCAAGGGCGAAGACGAAACAGTCATCATGATTACTTCTGAGCAACACATATTTCTTAGTAGAGATCACGGCAAGAAGTGGAAGCGAATTCTTGAGGAAGAAAAGATAACCCGGATAGAGCCGCATAGATTTTTCGATGATGTGGCGTACTTCCTGACAAACAACGGGGATGGATGGTATACGCTCGACCGTGGAGACACTTTCAGAAAATTCAAAGCCCCTCTTCCTCCGAATCAAGATAAGCTCCCGGTCCTTTCATTCCACCCAGATAGGAGAGACTGGCTTATATGGACAGGTGCCGATGAATGCAATGGCAACGGAGGTAATTGCCACTCTGTTGCTTACTACACTACGAACTTGGGGGGCGAGTGGCACTTCCTCATGCGATACGTTCGCAGATGCGAGTTCATTTCAAGGGATGCTCGTGGCTCAAGCGACAAACTTGTGTTCTGCGAACAATTCGAAAATGAAAACCCTTCAAATAAACACTTGCAACTCCTCTCAACAGAGGATTGGTTTGCTGAGAAAAGACTCCACTATAGCAATATTCTGGACTTTGCAACCATGCAAGAGTTTATCATCGTGGCTATTCGAGGAGAGAACCCCCAAGACTCACTTAGAATCGGTGTTAGTATTGATGGGAAGACTTTTGCGGACGCCGAACTCCCTGCCAACGTTCAAATTCCTATACAGCGGGCGTATACCGTCCTGGAGAGCAGAACCCATGCTGCCTTCCTCCTTGTTACCATCAACAATATGGAGGACCACGAATACGGAAGTATCTTAAAGAGCAACAGCAACGGAACCTCTTACGTTCTCAGTTTAAGTGCAGTGAATAGGAACTCTCGTGGATATGCCGACTTTGAGAAGATGCAGGGTTTGGAGGGTGTTGCGATGGCTAATGTCGTTGGGAACGTGGCCGACGTTGAAAACGGAGCCGCTAAAAAGTTTAGGACCATGATTACTCACAACGATGGCGCCGAATGGACACTCGTGCGCCCGCCAGACAAGGATTCCGAAGGGCGCTCATACGCTTGCTCAACGAAAGGAGGGAAACCGACCGATGCATGCGCCTTGCATCTTCACAGTTATACCGAGCGCGCCGATCCACGAGATACATATTCGTCACCTTCAGCGGTTGGCATTATGATAGGAACGGGCAATGTGGGTGATTATTTGTCACTTAAAAGCAAAGCTGATACATTTATCACTCGAGATGCTGGTATAACCTGGGAAGAGGTGAAGAAGGGCAAGTATCAATGGGAATTTGGCGACAGTGGGTCCATCATCGTGCTTGTGACCGAGTCCACACCAACAAAAACTCTCCTGTATTCTCTTGATGAAGGAAGGAGCTGGAAGGACTTCGAATTTTCGGAAGTTGAGATGCAAATTCAGGATATATCTACCGTACCCTCGGATACTTCTCGAAATTTCCTGCTCTGGGGCAAGGAAGTCGGACAAGGGAAAAAGCCTGGCCTCGCCACTGTTAACATTGACTTCTCGGGGCTGAAAGAGCGATCCAAACAGTGCGTCTTGAATGAAAAGAAACCGGAGGCAGATGATTACTATCTTTGGGAACCGAAGCATCCCCTTCAACCTAATGGATGCCTCTTCGGTCACAGAGCCAAATATCACCGCAAACGGCCCGACAAGGATTGCTATAACGGCCGAGAACTACAGCACCTGGACTCCATTGGGGATATCTGCGAATGCACACGATCGGATTATGAATGGTACATCATCCCCACATACGTATCTAACATTGTATAATCTATCCATTAGGAAACAAAACTGACCTTCTCATCTGCAGTGACTACAACTACGAGCCTCAAAGCGACGGCAGTTGTGCGCGGGTCGCTGGCCTCGAACCTCTTGACCCAAAACTTGTCTGTACTGAGAATCCCAAAGCCATAGAATGGTATGAGCCAACTGGCTACCGGCGCATCCCCCTAACGAAGTGCCAAGGTGGCAAGCAGCTTAACCATATCGTCGCTCACCCTTGCCCGAACAAGGAAGAGGAATTCTTCAAGAAGCATCCGCGCCTACGTGGCATCGGTCTTTTCTTCGTCATCCTCATCCCCATCTGTCTTGCTGCAACTTCTGGATATTACGTCTATAATCACTGGGATGGAAAATTCGGTCGCATCCGTCTGGGTGAAACGGGCTCGGGAGGATTATTTGATCGCGATTCCCTCCTCGTATCAATCCCTGTGTCCATGGTGGCGGGGGTTGTCGCGGTGATCACAGCGCTGCCACTTCTGGTATCCAGCCTGTGGCGTAGTGTAAGCGGATATGTTCGTGTGCCTGGCGGGGCTTCTTCGCGACGACCGTATTCTTCCAGAGACTCCTTTGCCGCACGAAGGAATGACTATACTGGCGTTGTGGAGGATGAGGATGAGTTGCTTGGGACAGATGATTTTGATGATGACGAGGAGGGCGATGAGAGGAATGGTCAGGTATGATAAAGACTTGTGTGCTGGCGTGACGGAGCGATACTGTTTTCCTGCGTTTGATTTCTCTCACTAATTTTCTCAATGGGACGGGGAAGTGAGAATGAAATTAATTATATTTAGATGAAGAATAATGGACATGTAAATGAAGCTATAACTATTGTTTTTTTGTTTTAAAAAGTTAATTCTTCACCTTTTTCTTTCTTTCTTTCTTTTTTTTGGCACTTTTTGGCAAGATTTTATTTAATACTCATGCTTCTGAACTATATAAATTAACCTTTGTATTGTGATGACTTTTCCATATTGCGGAATACTGTTGGCGACATTATTATGTTTTATACTATCCTATATGTGGGGGGGTGGATGGCGTAGTGGTAAGCGCTGTTCATGGAATGCTTTCTCAAGTAGGCACTTGGTGTTGGGGCCACCTCTGCTGAGACAAGAAGGTAGTGGGTTCGAATCCCACCCTCTTCAAAAAGGATATTATCACATCTTGATGGATATTGGGGGTACCCTTTCTTATCTCATTTCTATTGGTAACTGCCACTGCAGGGTGGAGCAATGTTCAACCTATGTATATAGTCTAGATGATTCAGTATAGTGTGGGATCCTAAGGTGTTGTGATTTCATGTCTACTCCGTACATTAATTAATATTCACAGACAGCCATTGCTGAAATTCATTAACAACACTGTGTTTCCCAGTTCAATAGACTGAGCAGAGATATTTCAAATCATATAGACATCAAGAGTGATAATCAACATCATCTAAAAGTCATATCAGCACATTTTGAAGTGAGAGCTGTGGTTTCACTGAACTTACTTTGATTCAGAAGAGTCAATCATGGACGAGTCTGTCTGCAGCAAACCCTGCTGTTATGATAACAAGAAATGCATGCATTGTAACTTCACAGATTACAGACCTCTGAGATGGTATATCACAAATTCCACATCAAAAAAGCAAATCAGCAAGTACAAGTATTGTGTAGTCGATAGACACAACCACAGCTGTACCTTTCACCGACGCCTCGTAGGCGACCGAACTAACTCAATCAGCACAAGGTCTATCAAGATCAGGGAGAAGAGCACATCATAAGATCCACCCGAGCTTTACCACTGAGGACAGAAAACCATATCCTAGAAATAATTGATGCAGCAGAGTGTTTGTAAGAGGGCCAGCCTGAATTTTGATTTGCCAGATCATCTAGACATCACGCAGTTAGTGAGGATGAAATTAAGAGGCTGGGAATAATGTATCTCTAGAGCTAAAGGGAATGCTGTACATAATTTCAATGGATAGTAGAATGCTGGCGTATCTGAAACATGCATTTAGCATTTATCACCATCTCAGTAGAAGGGACTGCTCACCCTCGCATCTTAAGCCTGATAGACCAATGCCAATGACAACAGCATTGACGCAGATAAAGAGAATGAAGATTGATATCTCAGACAAATGATGAGGCTGAAGGTGGTGAACAGTAAGCAAGATGAGATGCACCATACTTAGCACAATGAGCACCGCCGACAGAAGCGCATATGAGATGTTAGCATACATTTTGTAAGAAAAGGCAGCCAAGTTGGTACATTTTGAAATGATCCGTCGCGGAGTGACTTGTGGTTTATAACTATCGGGCGGCCACTCTCTGTGCGCCTCGAATCGGGCTTTTTCGAGACAAGGGGTATGCCATCCTCATTTCAGCAAATGTTGGAGGCAGTTGTCCAGGGCCTGTACAAATAGTTACACTATTGTTGTTAATCTGTTGTGATCCCTTTGCATGAGGATGGCACGGACTCAAGCTGGACATGTACTCACTCGCTCCCCAATGTAGTCGACGCAAGTTTCCCCGTCGACACAGGCTGGCACCCCTGGCTGCACTCCTCCTGGTCTTTCCCGAGGCATCCCGCACATACTAAAATGGCATAGATAGTTCTGGGTGATGATACGCCAGCGGCAATCAACTGTCCTCATTGGGCAAAGGAAAGTCCAAAAGACCCATTTCGGGCTCAATATCACGGCGCAGCTGGTCCTTTTGGAATTCGATATCACATGCTCTATTATACAACTGCGAACTAAATTCCGAGTGAGACCCGCTAAGCAACTAATAGGAGCTCGGTTCGCATGGATCCATTTATCAAACCTAAAAAAAGGAGGCCAGGGTTGCCCGTGCCATCGGCATCTCGGCGAATGAAGTGGACGAGCGAAGCATTGGCAGCCAAGCGGCTCACCTTCATGGTACAAGAGTAACGCTAGTCCAGAAACAGCGACCCTTTAAAGAGTCGCTGTTTCTGGACTAGCTCGCCCGTTACTTATTCATTATTCATTTTTCGCCCCAACCATTTCTCCACACCCAGATTCCGAGAAGATGGAGAGTAACCATCGACTGTTCGACCTTCGGGGCAGCGATACCGAGTATATCAAATATCTTGAATTAAGATTATTGTCTGTTGAACGCCAGCTGTGCTTTCAGACATCTACACTCTCCAGTTACTCCGCCCGCTGTGAGACTAACGCAACCGCTCCTTGCCTTTCCCCAACCTCATCCACTCAAACTGCAAGCACGAGCAGCAACGAGGACACTCTATGCTTGCAACCGCGGCCCTCACTTCCAAACCAATCCTCTTTGTTTCCCCGAAAAAGAACATCTTCCGGGCATATCGGGAACCCTGGACACAATGATGGCCCTCTATCACCATCCCAAAGCTCGACTTCTTCCTGGGATTTTCGAGGGAATGAAACACATTCCAATCATCCCACAAGCACAAGAGGCAATGAGGCCGCTCAGTGTTTACAGTCGCTCTGCCTAAACCCAACTTCGAACATCCAAAGCAATAGTACGGCTCAAACATGTGAAATTGTGTTCTACAACCCAACTCTTGGCTGCCCACCAAAGAAAAAGCAGAAGCTGCCTGATGCAGTACCTCAGTGGAAAACAGATGCGAACAATTTTTTAGCCTCAGTTCCACCTATGGATAAGTGGGATCAAAGAAAGAGAGAAGCTGGATTTAATGATGTTGCGAATAACCAAGCTGCAATACGCATTCTGCTCGGCGGATCGCCAGCGGTCAATCTCATTGTGAAAAATGACAGCGCCAGAGGTGATCCGCTTGAGCTCCCCACACTCAATCCTGCGGACAACAAAGGGATGATCTCTCATGCGTGCTGGTATGGAAGGCTTTCTATTGAGACTGAATTGAACGCGGTATTCTCCTCGCTGGTCTTTAGGTTCCAAAAACTTGTATTCATCAATTATTGTATTGTTTTGCTCTACATGGGTAATTCAGTTGAGACGATCGACTGGATGATGCGCCGCTACATAAGCGACTCGAGTTCTAAGAACTTACAACGGTATCGCCGGGGCTGTATGTTTGTGAATCAATGTATATCCCACTTGCTAAAGCGGGGTTGGGGCCACAAGAGCTGGGAAATCTTAGTTATCTGTTCATCGAAATAATCCTTGGAACACTTTTCATACCACTACTAACCAGCTGGCTGCAGGCGCCCGGCGCCCTCACCTTTACGCGCGGCTTGCAGACGCACCGGAAGAATGTCATAAAATGTTCACTGAGCGATTGGGTGCAGCGGAAGTACCTCAATGCAAGGATGGATTTATACCATTTTGTATTCCTAGCATCATCAAGGGTTTGATTGGTGATAATATTGAGTGAGCTGAGCTCCTAATACCATATTATTCTGGAGAATAACATTACTAAAGAGTTCCAGGATGCCCCAAATATGCTCTGGCCTCGGATATGATGTTAACCTTATCACGAATATTCACGACACCTTCATATCACGATTAAATACAGACAGGGAAAGTCACCTCACGGAGAATGATTCTAGTAATGCAGAAAATAGAATCGAATACACAAACTCTACATCCCCTGCTTTGCCTTCCGGGCAAACAATCTCCGACGCACGAACATCTCCAAACCGGCACATGCCTGATACCGATGTAGCTTTCCAGAGTGATAATGAGCTCCCACCTCCTATAGATTTGTCAGACATGGATAGAGCTCTGCAGGACGATTGTTTGTTTCTGGGCTGGTCAGACATGGACATTGCGCTTCAGAACAGCGATTTTTACTTTAATGAGGACTTACCAGATTAGTTCAATGAGATCTGATCACAATTGCAACAAGCTTCCCATTCTCAGGGACCTCCACCCGGCATTCTTTATGTATCTTGTAACAATAGCCACACTCTATCAATTCTCCTCCAACTTTTGGCGTGCCGTCAAAATTCAAAGGAACTAGTATTGTGTAGAGCGTCCCGATTGTCCAGGTTCCAGGAAAACACACAGCCATATCTGTTGTGTAGGGATTCTTCATTTCAATCTACATTTTCAATCAGATCAAATCTTTAATATATGCCATTCAGCTACTGACCTCTAAATTGTCTTGGATTTTTTGTGATATTCGCCAACAGCCTGCAGGCGTAGGGCAGCGCGAAACTCCAGAACTGCCGCGTACAGTAGTGTCAGCAAATCTTTTTGCTTCCGCCACCCACACATCCTGGACCATCTTTTCCAGCTCATCTCCTAGTGCTATTGCCACAGGATCGTGATTAGAAGACATGACATAAAATAGCTGGGTGCAAACTATTGAGGGGCATTCAGAAAATGACTGGCCAATCGCACGAGGGAAAACCTTTGATCCGGAGTTCAGGGAAATGTTGCTCCAGCGTCGCGCGGGATGCCCCCTGTTTTCTTAGTAATAATAATTCACTATTCACTCCGATTGTGCTACAGTAGCTCAGCCGCGGACTTTCGACACCCTGGGTCGATTGCAAGCATGCCTTGGATAAAATCAAAACTTGAGTTGCGCTAGTCATTTGGATATCTTCTCCAATTAATAGAAATCTACCAGCCTTGAACAAACGGGGAGAAAAACTTTGCCTAAAACCCTATGCCAGACGCCGCTCCTGCAACACAGCGTGACGTGCTACGCGGATAAACTTTGATCCGTGTTTCTGGCGAGATGGCTGGATTCCTATGCCATTTAATTCCTGGTGCCCATTTTGCTTTTTGATATCACTCTTCTTATCCCTCTAATGGCCGATAACAGCTCACCAGATTACAAGACTCTCTTCCTTAGAGCGGAAGCGGAACGAGAGCGGGAAGCAGAGCTGCGAAGGCAGGCAGAGGAGCGAGAGGCACAGGAAGCAGAGTTACGAAGACAAGCAGAAGAGTTGCGAAGGCAGGCAGAAGAGCGGGAAGCACAGGGAAGAGTGCGCAGCCAGCCGACAACACTAGAAGAGCTCATCAAAGGTTGTCATGATTCATTCTCCCGGCCTTTGCAGGTTGGAACGCCATCCCGCTCCACGAAGGGGAGTATTCCACCACCCACTGGGAAATACTGCCCAACGAGCCTTCGCTTTTGGTCAAGTTGTCCGGTTCAACTGCAAGAAATTTATGATTCGGTTTCCACTTACCTCCAACCAGCTGGAAAAGACGCACCTCGACTATTCACATCTCTTCTTGTGCTAAATGAACTGGGTCGGCGGTATTCTAGCCGAAAACTACGAAGTGAAAAGGATCTGGAACACTACGAGCGAACCGCTGTGGAAGATCATGTCCATGATATCATAACCGAGCTATGTAAAATACCTGATGCCCGAGAGAGATTCCGGCTTGGAGATGGGATTCTGTTTGAAAATCATGAAAATCTTCTACAGACATCAGAAGAGTCAGATGCACAGCTTGATGAATCCAGCACAAAACATCCCAAACCAGATTCATTCTGTATTCATCGAATCAACGATTCCACCAATACTTTGATTACGACAGTCGAGTATAAGCCGCCACACAAGCTCTCGGTTGAAAATCTCCGAGCGGGTCTTCGATCGATGAAGCTCTGGGAAGAGATTGTTCAGTCAGACACAATCCCCAAGAGTGATGAGCTGAACAAGGATGAAAAGCTGAGATATAATGCGGAACAGCTGACTTGCTCAGTTTTGGTTCAGAAGTATCATGTCATGATCCAAGCTTGACTGGAGTACTCCTACATAACTAATGGATTTGCTATTGTTCTTCTTCGTGTTCCATACAACGACCCTGGTACGCTCTATTACTATCTCTGTGAACCAAACATGGATGTGATTTCAGAAAATCCTGGGGTCTTTTATCAGTCAAAGACAGCTATTGCCAGAATATTATGTCTCTGTCTGATGTCCTTTCTCTCGGATATCCGTGACCAGAAGTGGCGGAATGCTGCAAGATCCCAGCTCCATATATGGAAGACAAGTTTTGACTTTACACGGTCGCAAATCCCTGATGACGAGCTGCAACAAACTCCTCCAGGATCGGAATATGCAAGCTCAGAATATATGCCCTCTGAACATCTGCCATCATCTCCATTACAGCCCGGCCATCGAGTTGCTACCCGATCTCAAACCACCTGTGCACCAATGGATACCTCGCCTTTGAGTGATCATATGGATTCTTCCGACTCCGACTCTAACCAAGCAGCGCACGGCCGGAAGCGGGGCTTCAGCCAAGTGATGTCCTCCCCGCCCAGCCAGCGTTCATCGGCGCGCCCAGTAGGTTCTAGGCCATTGAGCGGCCAGAGCCAACACACGGCATGTTACTGTACACAGCGATGCTTATTGGGTTTGCAACAAGGAGGTGAATTGGACCATCAATGCCCTAATGTTTCTCTCCACCGGCGAGGCCAGAATGATGATCGACATTGTATCGATGCAAGGAAGCTTGTGCAAACACTGAATGAACAGCTCAATCGTGACCTTGATCATAACTGCACACCATTTGGGACTTGTGGATCGTATGGTGCACCCTTCAAGATCACTTGTGCTGCATATGGCTACACTCTTGTTGGAAAGGGGCAACAGCCGGGCTATGGAAAGTTGTCTCACGTGAAGCAGAAATATACCGGGTTCTTCAGAAAGCACAGGGTTCTGCTGTCCCTGTATTTCTGGGGACGATTGATTTGAAATTGTTCCTTTTCCTCCTTGGTGCTGGGGACATCCGTCATATGCTTCTCATGGGTTGGGCGGGGGAAAGTATAGAGAACGTCAAAGACAAGGAAGTGCTAAGTCATGAGATTTCCAGGTCGAAGAAGGAAATCCGCATGCTGGGAGTGGTACATAAAGACCTGCGGTCTGCCAACATGTTATGGAATGACGAGCTGCGCCGGGTCCTGATCATAGACTTTCACCGGTCCGACATAGACAGGCGCCCGATGAAAAAGCGGGTTGGATCCTTGAAAAGGCCACTTCATCAGGTGGGCATGTCGAAACGACCCTGTAATAACAATGGCTTGACTGGGCGTATCTCAGGGTCCTAGAGTAGCGCCGGAGTGCTAAAACAGTGTTGAGGAGAGTTGCAAACAGGCCCTTGAGAAACAGTGTGAAGAAGGTGCTGTTGCCTTCCTTGGTCAAATTGTTCTTCCTTTTGCCTGTGGATTGATATTTCACCAATCAATTTTCCTATCATATTTTTAATTTTCACAACTAAGCTATATAGCAAGCGTGGAAAGACCCGAATGTTTAGGTCTAGAATCCAGTAACAGCAACTCGTACCTGAATTACACATCCACCAGCAATAACAATTGGGTTTCAGAAAAAGTCACTTTGTCTTCCGCGTCTGATTTTTATCTCACGGACAGCCACAGCAGGGAACCAACAATCTCAATAACTCGATGTCCCTTTCCTTCCATTCATTAGTCATTTTCGACGTACCTTGCTGAACGATCAGCAATAAAGCCCACTGGATAGGTAAATACTGCTTACTGGCACTCAAATGTTACGCGCTGCATCCAGATCTTCTCTCACGGAGGCCCGTAGATCGGCATCATATTGTTCTTTACTCCGTGTTTCTATGTCCGCTTAAATATTTTCATCATCTCAGGCACCTGGCTATGGATCTCCATGATTTCGTCTTGCTGAGACGTATCGCCGCCCTTGACGTCTGAGGAGGTTGACAAAGGTTTTCGCACGCCATGGTCGGCATTCAGCATTGCGGCGAATGCTTTAAAACTTCCGATTGCAAGTGAGAAGAGCGAAAGGATTTCTGTTGGGACGCAAATTTCCAGTCGATTTGCAGAGTAATGATTTATTACTGTTAAAATATATAGAGAGAGAGATCCAGAACCGGGGAGGTTTTTATACTTCTCTCCAGAGCTAGACAAATAGCTGAAATGGTTCGAAGAAAAACCTAAGTGAGAGACAAAGAAAAGAGGGGGAAGAGCAAACAAATGAAGACACGAACAAAGGAACACACAAAGAAAATGCCATACCATGGGCGGGAATGTGATAGGCAATATCAATAGGGCTCCTGGGCCGGAATGAAATATGAGAAGCAAAATAAGATCAAACGAAGGGAACAGAAGCAAACAAGAAAACAATCAAGACAGGCATAGTAAATTGATATTGGCAAATACACAGACGAAGATCCTAACCAATTGGCTTTACAATCCCGCGTCCACCGCCCCCTGCGTGATCTCCCATTGATTTGCCCCCTCGCGCGCTGATCCCAGGATCCACTACCTTTTCAACCAGCCACCCCTACTCCCTACTCCATGGAGAGACACTGGCGTGGGACACACCGGAAGTGGCCACTTCATCCTATGGCAGCGTTGTAGCAGCCGTTGGGATATTTTCGCTCAACGGCATCCAGGTCTTCTCGGCCTCGACTTCGACTTCGACTTGCGAGTTGGCGGCGGGGTGCGATGCTTCAGCTTGGTGGAGTACCGCACCTGCAGAGTCGCCTTGGATGTGCCCGGGGAGCGCTTGGTGATCTCATCCCATGGCTCGCCGTCCTCTTTGAGTTCCTTCAGCAGCGCGTCATCCTCCGAGGTAAATGGCACACGTATACCGGTCACGACAGACGGCCGCCCTTCTCGACCGGGGCTCGACACACCGTTCGCAGTCGAGCCGGCCGGTCCCCTCGTGACAGAATGTCATAGTGTAGCACGTAGCTTGAAAGAAAGCCGGAGACCGGTATGCCGTGGTTTGTCACTGCATCATCTAGTGAGGCAGTGGACACCCTGGAAGAACCACCGGCCGGGATTTTACTGTGCTTCGTCCACGGTGCAAATTTCCGCTACGCAGAATTCAAGCATTACCGCGCCATGTCTATGGCCTTGTTAAGCCTCAGCTGCTGATCACTGAGACAAGTATAGCTAAGCGTTGTAATACCAATTCATCCATACAGTACATAATTGTGTAAACCATGATGATGGGGGAATGGTGGGATATGAGCCATATGCGAAATAATTTGTAGCTAGATAGAGGAAAGATACTATCGGAGTATTTTAGCCGGGTTTTGATAAAGCAGCTTCAACCCGTGCGTCGGGGCACATGTACCCAATGGGGATGACCCTTTTTCGTTATTCACGCGTTGACACGGGTACCCAGGGGACCAATCGAGAGGATTCGATCAAGTGCAGTAGAAAAGGTACGCTTCATCAAGTTTCCCTTTTGTACAATCGGCTTGCTGCAGTAGATAATGAAATTTAGAATGGGTCGCGAACCCCCTTAGGCGAGCTGCAATTGGTGCACTTACTAAACAGTCCCAGAAGCCAAGAACAATCTCCTCCTCGTCGTCCAAAAGCCTTTTTTGTTCATCGGTGACTGGAAGGTTGTAAGTCTCTGCTCTATCAAAATCGATCCAAACAACTCTTTCCGAATCGTCCTTGACGATCATCATAGGTTTCGGATCCCTGTGCCGTACTCCTGCTCCGTGTATCTCCTGTATGCCTTTGAGGAAGTTGTCCTTTCGTTTCTGTGTATAGTTGTGCAGATGAATCATCTCAAGATTCGGTATGTACTCCAGAAAAATAGCGCTAGGAAGGTATTTATCATGAAGGAACATTTTCAGCTAAGGTTGGCATAGTTTCGGATCGAACTTCTCCATCGTCCCAAGGAAACGAGGGATAATTCCACGTTCACATAACCCTCGATCCCTTAGCCGCCGATAGGCGGCAGACTCAAGCACATGGATATCCAATTCACGATCTTTCGGTTCGTAGTACCGTCGTGGCCCTCGACCGTGATGCTGTTACCATCAGTAACAGACCATAGCAATTCTCGGAGGATCTTACTTACCACCTTCATAACACATACCTGGCCATGAACAATAACAATAAATATCACCGAATAATCGGAGGCGTAAAGCTTCACCTTGAAAACTATCTCGGAAGGTTTGATATTGTTAAGTTCCATCGTTACCTAGATCCTTTCGAAAGTGGGTTTGTGTCGCTGGGCGAAAGACGGTCTGTGACTTTTTGACGTCGAGACAAGGAAGTGACGCACGTGATATTAATGATACCTTGGTATGTTTGTCTTGTTTGTCAGCGTCGTGTGTACCCCGTTCGAGAAAGTGGTGAAATTTGTTAACTAGCAAGCGAAGCCCCCCTGGACTCACACATTGGGCACATGAAGGTTGGTACAAAACGTGGTGTGCCTTTAGGCAGCAACCTCCGGAGTAGCTAGACGTTGGCTGGTGATAACTGGACGTGGGCAACGTAATTGTGAACACTTGCTATTTCCATGCAGTCTGACCGATGGCCTTACCCAAATATGCTGTTACCATTCAGAGCTTATAAGACTACCATATTCCTCGGCTGACAGCGGCAACTTTGAGCTTGTTCCACCCATCCCATTCACATCCGGAGGTACCGCTGAACAGCCCCAGATGACTGTTCTCTTGGCACTGTGGTACCTCGGCATGCTTGCTGCCCAAGATGGTTGGCATATGTAATCTTTTCTCTACGGGGTCCTTATATACTTGGGCTGTTTCTGTTGCGATGGCTATCGGACGATAATTATGGTTCGGATATGTTGATGGAAAGTGCAATAATTTAGCTAAATCAAGTGGTCAAAATTACAACTATTCTTGCTTTGCGCCAATAAGGAATAGGCATCCGGAAAATCAGGAAGTCCGTATGCAAAGTGGCAATGGCTGGGCTTCCTTGTACGGTCCCGCACACTGCATTCCCCCAAAGGTTGGTAGCAATCAATACAACCACCCAGACGCCCAACAGATAACACGGATGACGCGCCTTGGATAAGTATTTTTGGACAACTAAGCGGTATTGATTGCGACCATTGTCTCTTGATTTAACTACCTTCCATAAATTATTGACCTTTCCAAAGAGGAACAAACAACGCATGTTGGGCAGAAACAAGAAATTAGCAGCATTGATATCTCGAATACTTTATCTGCCAACACCCATTTACCGCCATTATGATACCTAAAATCTGACATTATTCTTGCACTTTAAACAGCGTCTTCGCCGGTAGCGCCAGGAATGAGATCGCATTCGCTTGTCACTCCTCATATTCCGGGTGCCTCCTTTGCCTCGCAAACCTATTTGGGGAGCAGAACACAGTCGGCGCATGGTCAACAATTCGAGGCGTGTTTTATTCTCAAGGAATGTGGCTCCAAATGGGACCGGGTGAGGCAGCTGGCAAGCTCGCACAACAAGAGGAATGTCAGACCACCGGAACTGCTTCCCAGCGCGGGAGTACTCATAGCCTATAATGCCGTCCACCAAGGTATCCTCTGAGCTAAAAGTTTTGGAGTCGGTTGAGTAGATGATTCTCTTTTCCTCAAACAAGACTGTTGGCAGTTCCTCATACTCTAGTCAGCAACTGTGTAGAATTCTCAGAATTGATCCATTATCACAGCTCTTCTCAGCATATAGATTTGCTAGCTGATGTAGAGCAGAGTATAACATCATATTCTTCCATCTCTGCACCTCTTTATAGTGACGCCAGGTGCCTTTGGAATGTATCAACATCAACCATCTAAAGGGGGATGCACCACAGCAGATATTTTCAAGAAGGTCGATTGCATCATTGATGTGCTCATTAAGAACATAGAAATGGGTCAAACTCACTGCAATAGATATCAACATCTTCTCTTGCTTCATCTGCAAAAACCACTCCCAGACCATCTCAAGAATGAAGTGAGCATCATTTCTTACCATGAAATCTTTGCAAATGATAAAAGCTAGCTCCTGAAAAACCTTGCCCCAGCTGTACTTATTCATGGAACAACATTGATTTAAAAATATTGCTTTCAAAATCTGACAGCTGTAGTTTTGGAATGCAGAGTAAAAATTTTGACAGAACTGAACAGCTGAAAATAAAGCTGCAAAGTCAGACAGATTCTCAAGAATCATAAAAACAATATTAAATGAGAGGTGTGATAATTAATTGTCATGGTGACTGTGGAGAAGGTAGATCTAACAGCGGATTTCACATGTAAATAATAAAAGATAATGTGGGCAGAATGCAATCAGATGAGTGCTGTCACTGTGAAAAGAAAAGAAATGGAAAAAGGGAAAAACAGCAGAGATTGCTGAGATTAAATATTATTGAATCAGCTCCCAAACAGGGTTTAATGCTGACTAAACTTTATTAGAATAACTAACTAGTTAACGTTAACGTTAAAGCTGATAGATGACTCAGATAATGTTGATAAAGTCTATCTAGAAACTCAGACATATACTTAAATTAAAGATGCACATTATCACTCAGATGCTGTAAACTAATGAAGATTCAATGTATTGATAGTGTGAATTGCTTTTGTTGTCTTTTACTACATTATGTCTTTGACTGATTTTTGAGCTCTGTTGGTTCAATGCTGATCATTGAGTTGCGTTAAATCAGTATGTTATAGTATTACTGTTAACAAATAACTACATGTTTCTAATTCACTCAAGATTAAACAATTTTCTGATCTTGTTGCTCTTCTTCAAAATCTGATGAGCTCTTTTGACATCAACTTCTATGTTTTTCTGAATCAACATTTTCAACAGTTCAGAAACCAATACCTTCTGAGCATACATAACAGTTTCATACTTCAACATCACATCATTGATATCAGTCAGTGAGTTGATGGCATCTTTAAAGTGTGACATGACATGCACTGAGCTGAGAGAAAGGTCAGTGAAGAGGTTTCTTGAAGGGTTTGAGAGGTTGAAATTGAGGTTGATATGGAGAAGGTGTTTCTTCACTCACAGAATCTCATGATCTCTAAAGCTATAATAATCAATACTGTGTAGAATGTTTCAGAAGAGGATCTTTCTGTCATACTTCTGCATTTTTTTATATACAACGCTTTCATAGCAGAAGTGGTACTCAGTATCATTGAGAATCCAGCACAGATGAGGATGGAATTGAGTCAATTGATAATCTAAACAGTCTCACAAAATGATGGGATAGCAAAGTTGGAACCACTCACACCATGCGGTCTCCTTTCAATGGTTCTCACAGAACCGCAGCTGCTCGTGGACTCATATGCGATTGTTGACGGCATTGAACGCACTGGAAACCTCCACCTCGACCACAGAATTGCACACTGGGCACATGGCAGTCACTGTTGAGGACAGAGATGATGTGCAGAGTTTCACATTCAGTGTGGCCGGATCATCTGCTGGTTGTGGTTGTCCGCCGGGATAGCGATGTGGAGTTTCGAGGGGTGTGGGCGGCTTCGATATTGGAAGGGGTTCACCAGCCGACGCACGACCTGGTAGGCTCGTAGGGCATCAGTAAGTACCCATTGCAACACACATTCTACGCATGGGCGCGCTTACAGTTCCACTCTTGCCCCCGCTTGTCGGTGGGTGGGTTGCTTGCGTGTGTATTCTGAAGTTTTATATACCACCACTGCTGCAAGGAGCTGAGTTGTCTCTATGGAAACTGCTCCTCAATCTCCGTTCAGGAGAAGCCATCCTGCTTCAGAGCCACTAGTCAGACCTCCTCCTCTCAAGTTCAGTGACATCTTCTCTCATTCAGACCCTCAACCTTCCATTCACTGTAATCTCTTTCAGTCTCAGCTGCAGCTGTTGTTTTGTCTGTGAGATCTGAGACGGTCATTGGCCGGTCTGTGACCATCTTGAAAATGAATCCGGCCACTGTAGACAACAGCATCATGGCTTCCCCTCAGGCCAACAACAACATAGAGCAACTGCATGTCTCATCATCAATTGTTGAAGGTCAGAAGTGGGCGTGTGTGTCCAGACCATGATCCATGTTTCAGAGGGTTGTGGAATGGTCCTTCACAGTCATCATTCACACTCTGCTGTCCTTCTGTTCAACACCTTCACGATCTGCAGCGGCTGCTGCTCTTGGGATCCGAAACCAAGGACGGCGCGATGCAGGGCTGGATGGTGGTGCGGGAAGCCTGTGGTGCTTTGAAGGTGGTTTCATTGAGGCATCCTCTTCACTGCTCACGCGGTAGTCGCCGTCTGTATCATCAGAATGTGCACTCGAGCCACCTGTGTCGGACATGGTCGTGTCATCTTCGACACACTGCACGGGTTTCGCGGGAAGCTTCTAGTCCTGGGTATCGGGGACCTCACACCTCGATCGTGCACGGGTCTTCTGTTGGCGGGCCCGGAGTCGGCTTGATATGCCTTCTTCAAGGCGATCCGCGATGACCGGCACTTCGACGGCCACCATGGGGTGCATGGCACCGGTACCGGCCCCGTTCCAGCGTTGTCTTTTGAGTGAAATAGAATGCACACCGGCGATGCCAGTGCCGGCTTCGTCGCTTCCACCATCCGCCTTGGGAGAGTGAGATATGGATGTAGCACAGCTGGAAGTGTCTCATTTGATGGGAGATGTGAAGGTGCTGTTGTCAACAGCGGACCTGTCTGTAATGCTGTCATCAGAGTCTACCACAATCAGTGGATTGAAGGGTAGAGAGTCATCACTTTGACTGCTTTGAAGCCATTCTCATCTAGATGATGTATTCTGATCTCTATTCTGATCTGACCCCAGGCCCAATAAGCCAGCCTGCGGGATCGAATCCACTACGGGTGGTGAAACACCATCGGTGGGAAGAGAGTTCGTGCCAGTGGATCCGACCAAGCTGCATTCTACAGCAGTCAAAGAGTCTGATAAGGATTCATCAGCTTTCTTCTGGCCTTTGTCCTCATTCTCATCAGGTAAGTTTAAGAGGCGCTCTGATATTAAAACTCAGTCTAATCAGATGGAATAAAAAGAAGGAAGGAGAGAGAAAGTGAGAGTAAGACAGCTATCTATCAAGAGAATTGTGTCTCTTATCATTCAAATATAAACTCAAGTGTTTCACATCTGCATCATTAAGAATGGAAATGCACAGAGATGTATTGGAATCAGCTGCATCAAGTCCCATAAAGAATTCATCAAAATCATTCATGCAAGTATCCTCCACCCGGGACTGGTTCTCATTCAGATCTTTGAGAGGGGGGGAAGATAGAACATATAAAAAATGACTGAAGAGAAAAGAATGAGAGAGTAAAGAGTGGAAGAGTATTTAAGAGTGAGTGAAAGATGCAGAGGCTGTCTGAAGAGATTCAGATGTAGAGAGTATAAAGTAAGAAGATTATGATTGATGACTGATGAGCACAGACTTTGAAGAAGAAAGATACATGAAATTAGAGGGGTTCTGACACTGATGAGCTTTGAAAACCATCAAAGAAGAATTAGAAGGGGTATAGATGTTTCAGTCACTACACATATTGATAAAAGAGATGATGAGCTCACTTTGAAGTTTGTTGAAATGACAGTAGTGAATCCACAGAGGAAATAAAAGCATTTATATACAGTTTCACTGATCTGATGATAACCTCATTCTCTCTGTTCCTTCATATAAGCCCTATTGATCAGAAAAAATCTACACTGTCAAAGAGAGCTGACAAGTGTCAGACTCTTCAAATCAAACATCATCAGTCATCAGATTGCAGCCGTCCGCTCCAATGCATGAACTGCACACACAACAGCAGAATATAATTCAAGTAGATATGAGTAACAGTCAGCCACATTTATCATCTGTCAAATGAATACAGAAGCAGCGTCACAGCCTTCTTTCATTTCAATTCAATTTCACTCAAACAATTCAAGCATGGAAGACGCGAGAACTTTGAATGAATCAGATGTGAATCCTTCAAGAAGAGTGAGAATGAGCAGCACACAACAGCTGAGCATATATACAGCTGCAGTCTCATTTACACAGCCTCCTCACATCTTTCACCTTTGCAACTTCCTTTCATATCACACTATTCTTGCATCTCTACATGGTGTATGCAGTGCAGACAAGCTCTGGAAAATCTGATGTAAGAATGACTGAACAATGCAACTTCAGCTCACTTATATATATATTGCAGAGATCTTCTATCAAAGTTGATAGATTCAGATCACAAGGTCATCACACTGAAGCTGAAACTGAGATCTCTCAAAACCACAGGCAGGAGGAAGGCTGAAAACACAGCATGTGATCAATCATTCTCTATCATTATTTCTGATCCGACACATGAGCAATGGCAAATGACAAGTTGAACAATGAGTTCGAAGAGTTGGGTAAGAAACAGTGCTGGCTCAGTGATGCCGCAAATTGGAGCTGGCCACTCATCCATCCCCATGGGGTCTCATTGAGACGAGGCATTTTTGCCATTGACTGCTGAGCAGGAGGCACATCAGAAGCAGTAGAGAAGAGAGTTATAGAGAAATCAGAGAACTGTGGGTCAGATCAAACTGTTCAATACAAAAGAAAGAATATTCTATTTTTTTCCATGTTGAGAGTAGGGAGGGGGGGGGTGGTGAAAGATAGGGGCAATCGCATGTATCACTTCGATAAAGAGCGAAGTCACAGTAGCGGGAGCGGAGCAAGAAGTAAGGCAAAGACACATATAACATATATGAGGTTCAATGTTGATGTCAATGCTGTAGAGGCCTCCGCCGCAACCATGCAAACAAAAATCAGAGCAATTGTACAGTCGGGTGGCGACACAGTAGCAGTGGGTCAGGAGATACCACACCGGAAAAACTGAGGGCGGGTTGGGGTAATGATACAACAGGGGCAGAGAAGAGAAGGAGAGGGCAATGAATGAAAAGAGGAAGAAGGGAAATAAGGATGCAGAAGTGTGTGTGCAACAGAGGCAGTCAAAGCAGCTTTAACTATATAACTAGTCACAAACAGATGACATCAGCGCGCCTCCGGGGCTGGGCGGTCGGCGCCATGCCTGAATGGGGTGGCGCCAGACCGCATCAGACCGCGCTAGACCATACGCGGACAGCGCTTGACCAGATAGAGTGTACAGCACCATTTCCGGCCGCTCGCTCACTGTCACATTTTTTACTTTGAAATTTGTTTCATTTTGATTATTTTTGATTTTAACTTGTTTTGAAAAATTTGATTTGTGAATGCGTTCTTTTCTTTTAATAGCTGCTGTTTTATATACTCTTTATTTCATTTATTTTAAATTAAATGTATTGATCTGTTGTTATTCTTTTGACATTCTTTCTTAAATTGAATAGTTTGAATAGTTGTTTGATTCTGAGCTGGAATTCTGCTATTGCATGTATTAAATTGACTTTGTATATTAGCTTATTCTTAAGTTGAAAAATCCTGAAGTATTTCAGGTAGATGTCATAGTCACTGACTGCATACATCTATAATAGAAGAATAATAATAATAATCAGGGGGTGGTAGAAAATTCTGTTTTCACAAGCTTTACATCCGTCACAATAGAATAGTGCCAGTCATTAATCGAAGTACGCCCCTTACACTGCTAAACATCAAAGAAAATATCAAATAATTAATAAGCTGATGATTTCAGCAAAACATTCTACAGCAGTTCACATTAACTCATGTTCTAGAAGAATATAAAATCTGAGACTGACAGAATATATGATGGTGTTTGAAATGAAATGTGAATGGTGAAGAGGAAAGCTGCAACAAACATGAGCATGGAAGAGACACACACAGCAGATGTGGAAGAAGGGGATTGATGAAGAGAGAGAGAGAGAGTTGTTTTCTTTATTTCTCAGAAACAGCACTGACTGATCCTTGATAAAATTGCAGAAAGAGAACTGAAGTAAAGACAATTAATGAAGAAGAGATTTTTAGTCCAGTGATATTGAATACAAGGTTTTTCTTTCAATTAACATAGGTTTGCCGCATACCATATAGGTTAGGCGGTGTAGAAATAATAATAATAATAGTATCCCGCTATGACACAAAGATAGCATGAAATTCATCCGGTATTCTCCACCTTTAACAATGGGCGTTCCAGCCAAGTCTTCATAACGAAGATTTGTCGGTGGTGTGTTCGAAGTTGAAGATGAGAAAATAGGCGGCTTTATTGCTCGTATCCCTGCCCAATTCTCATCCAGCGGGTGAGCGGGGTTCGGTCCATAACGGACGACCTGAATGCGACATGGATAGACTTCATTTAGGGTTGCTGATAACACCCACTGGGCATCCTTACTGCTATCCTCGTTTGTTGGAGAGAGAGAGAGAGAGAGAGCTGGGCCTCGCTGGAAGGATTTGATGTTTCATGTAGATATTTGAATTTAGCAACATTATCTCTGCGATAAAATCGAGATACGCAATTAAAATTTTAACCAAAGGTATGCTTCCAAAATTGAGGCAGTTTCATCTAGTTTCATGGTGTATTGCAATCAACAAAGTCTGTTTTTCCAGTAGTTAGCCCTCCTCCACATTTGCGTCTCTTGATATCAGAGGCCTATCCAACGCTATCAAAATAGAAAGTCCCGAAATCCACAATCCCTTACAGCTTCAACCGAAATTTTTGATGTCCGTAGTTTCTCATCATGGGTAACCGTTCAAAAACGAGTAAATTCTCAATCCGTTGAAATTACTGTGGAAGATCATTAGGCCCAAAAGAATGTGGGAGAAGCTATTTCTCGTCCAGTTAGCATCTTCTCAGAGGCGAAAAGCACGCTGGAGAAGTTATCCTTTGGCGGAAAATCCAGGAGATATGAGATATCGATTTTCAAAAAATACATACCTCCCCCATTGTCTTCACCGTATATTTGCCATCCCCTCCGTACAAGTAAACTGGGAAAGAAGGAGGGCAGAATTCTCTCATGCTTTTGACCGGAGAGAGCTCAAGGTTAGCATACGGTTTATCATTTCAGCTATAAGAAATATGGCAAAAGAAAAAAAAAAAAAAAAAAAAAAAAAGATATGGGAAGGCAGCGCTGATTCCACATACAACTGCCTACACATCCCGCACGGGGATGCACCCGGGACAATGTCTGTCGCGACGGCGATGGCCCTAAAATTTTTGTGTCCGGCTACCTATACATGTACAGAAGGGTTAGGGTTCGCAGATTAACGATTAGATCCCATATCAAGAGGAACGCAAGGTAATAGAAAACAGCATAAGGAGCTTGAAGGGGAAAGCATAGTGTAATCTCGGATGCCTACAACAGCGGTTGAAAAAGCACATCTCTCCGCGCACACGCCGACAGGGTAGCTAACATTCTCGACGTTGGCGCCGACAATGAACTCCCTTTCCTCCGTAAGGAGACAGGCACCCACGCGGAATTTCGAGTATGGGCCTATTACATTGGCATCGAATGTTAGCTCGACGGTAGCGAGAGCGAGAGAGACAGGTACTTCGGTGTATAAGGAGAGAGGAATAGGTAAACTCTTGGACGACGAGTTAGCTACGAACAATGTGCTGCCTCCTTCGCAGCGATGGCTTTCGAGGAGAGGGTTTGAAGCTCTGCGGCCGATACTTGGTTACTAGTGGGCATCGCTGGAGGAATGTTTGGTTGCGTGGCAATGCGCAGTGCTATCAGAACATAAGTTTAAAACTATTGCTTGGCTTTCGGTGGATGTTCTTTGTTTAATGCATGTTCAAGAAGTTGGGCATCGGAAGTTGCGAAACTAGATATCAAAAGCCACGAGTGAGCTACTAAGAAACATAGCTAGAAACATTAAAAGGCATTTTTTATGGAAAACGAACGAAGTGCGGTTTTACTTTCAGAGAATTGATCGACTGAGCGTTAAGCGGAAAAATATGTAAGAAGGCCAAATAAAGAAATGCCATGAGGGCAGAGGGGAATACTAGTATATACCTTACGGCGGATGGACGGCGAGCCACGATTGATAGAGTCGTGGTTAGGCACAGGAAAGCTTAACAGACCCCTCAACAGCAGCTCCTGAACCGCTATAAACCGGAGCCCTCACACTATCTACGGTGTTACGCCCTCACGCTCGTAAGAATCGCAGAAGAAGTCTAAATGGTGCAAATCAATGAAAAAGGACGTTCAGATGTTCCGTCTGTCGAGGGCAGGAAATACAAAATTCCAAAATTCCAAAAAAAAAAAAAAAAAAAAAAAAAAAAAAGCCCCCCGGATGTCATACTTGGATTAGTTATTTATTTTACTTTATCCTTTTCCCAAGCTCAATTTATTCCTTTTCCTTTTTTTTTTTTTACTGATTCAAGCCTATTCTCCAACAAACCTCAAAAAGGGAGTAGCAGTAATATAAAATGGATTCTGAATTTGGGACTGAACTGAAATTTGAATATGTATCCAGAAAATGTTTACCCATGATGAGATCTATATGAATGAACAAGAATTCCAAGAGAAACACAATTTTAAAACCACTGGGCAGAAAATAAGTAATAAGAGGGTGCCGCCCGAGTGGATATTTGGAAATAGAAACAGATATATGAAACGAAACACCAATTCGCCGTGGCTGATTGATATATATGCCCCGAGGGAAGAGAAAAGAAAAGAAACGAGCAACCCTCCCTTCTCCCACATAAAGGCAGAAGATGCATAAGGGAGAGAAAGGAATGTTGGCCGGGTCATGGAGATGCCAGATAGTAGTTTTATATATGATAAGAGGATAAGCTAGTCGAGTCCAAATACGGGCAAATGAAAGATATGCAGTAAGAGTCTTGGGTAGAGAGAGGTAATAATGGGCAGGATGTAGAGGGTATCAACCTTAAAGGGGGAACAAAAAGTAAAAGTAGATACTCTCACGGGTATAAAATAGTAGCAAACTTCATAATAATCAACAGGAGCACCTTGATGCCTATGTGCGCGGCTGCCAGTAGTCATTGGCAGTCAGCAGTATTAGCACAAATATACCTCAAAGATACCGCCTCAAGGCCTCATAAATCGTAAAGATAAACGCAGAGCTAGGCGCTGAGCGTGCACAAGTAATCCCGCAACCACGATATAATCCCGCCAGGCCCTGCTGCTTCCACAGAGCCCTACCGACAGCCCAAAACGTTGGACGGCTGCTGCTGGCTCTGTCCCCGCCGACGGCATGCGTGAAGTTTTCAGTCTGCATGCGTGACTTGATGGTGTCTGCAGGATAGAATATGAAGTTATAACTAATCCCTGCTGCAGCACCGGCGAGGAGGCGTTGGTGGACCAGCGGCTCGTTACCGGCGACATCAATGCCGCTGCCTGCACCAGTGACCGTACCACCAGTGCTTGAAGAAGCTTTGATTGAGGTGGTAGTTGAAACGGTAGGAGAGGCAGCCGAGGACTTCGATGCGTTGTGCTTCTTGAAAAAGGCCAACACGCCTTCATAGCTACCAAACCATGCCGCTGAACCGCCGGTTTCGCGGATGAGGGTGCCCATCTGCCCTCGCCAGAAGCCAAGTAAGCCCTCGTGTCGGAACACGGCTACAATTAGAGAGATGGGCCCGGGCGCCTTTTTATTAGACACGAGCGAGCCCGAGCTCGAGCTGGCCGCACCGCTTTCAGGGGGAACTTGCATCTTGCACTTGATGAGCTCTACAGGTGTGAGGAGGAGGGATGTGAAAGCACCCGATGCTGCGCCGCAGAGGAGTAGCGTGGACTGCGGTAATTCACCTGCAGCTGCAGAATCGCCACCGGAAGATTCCGGCGCACAGAGTGTCGCTTTGAGAAGGTCCTGTGTAACACGGTAGCTGAAGAAGAGACTGCTTGTCTCAAGCGCTGCGCCGACGAGGGGGGCGCTGATGCCCCTATACAACCCATTGATGCCGGCAGCCTGAAAGGACTTGCGAAAGCAGTCTATGGGGCCCTTGTATAGTAGTGGGAGGCCGTCAGGTTGGGATTGTAAACGAACTTTCACGGTGTCGAAAGGATATTCGATGAATTTTCCGGCGATTCCAGCGATCTATGTGGTTTTAAAAATCAGTGGTGGATTAGAAAACATACAAAATATTCTCAGAAATTTATTTTCCATATTTCAATAAACTACTAGACACAGGATATGAAATGCGAGAGAGCAAGGAACAAAAAACAAAACCTACAGATCCATATATGATATCTTTCAAAGCTTCGACGCCATGATTAGTGGTCGTAGGGAAATCAGCCAGCTCCACCGCCATTTGGTTCTCAATTGCACCCGGAATCTGCGGTTTCACAGTGTCCATGGTTGTGTGGGCGCCTGGACAGAACGGCGGGGAAGGGAGGAGAGGGGAGAAAAGAAGAGTGAAGGTAATTAGGGAATAGGTGTTATCGGAATAACATTGTAGAATTCTGGGAGATATACGGGGTTGAGCTAGGAGAGGGTGAAGGAGATAAGGTGCGAGGGATATGGGAAGGGGAATGGTAGTTGAGCGACATCATACGGAAGTGAAGAGCATGATGGGAATGCCAGGGCCACACAGATCAGACACAGACCAAGGCAGGTGGGCCGAGACGGGAAGAACAGGTAAGCCACGCTGCAGAAGTGGATGGGGGTGTGTCCAGAGGAGTGCTATGCGGTGTATCTGTGAGTGCACAGTGGCGCAATTTTGGAGCTGGCGGGGATCAGAGTCACAGTGCTCGGTTTGGCGTGAGTCTGAAGAATGAGGTTTTGGAGAGCAGGGCTCTGTTACCAGATTGGGTTTAGCACAGCGCTCTCGGGTGAAATAAATCGCCGAGATCCGGTTATCTGATGGTACCAAGATAACACTATCCCTGATACAATCTAGCGCTGATCCCTCCGCCCCACATAGACAACCTTGGAAGTAAGTCCTCAAGGGATTTTCATTTTCGTTTCTTGCGGGAATGACACGAGGAGCAGCCGGACGGACAACCACCAGGTCCCCCCCTCAGCGTCGGTGGCCTCTTAAGATTGCAATTGCTATTTCCAATGTACCCGGTTTCATATTACCGTAGTAACTACTCCCCTCCGTCACCATGTCTGCCGCCGTCGAGGCTCCGGTGAAGAGCCCTGAGCCTGCATCCCAGGCACCCAAAGGCATGCGGAAGAATGGTACGAGCCCACCTCCATATTTTGCCCCAGCTTGCTATCACTTATATGTGCGCTTACTTGTCATCTCCCTTCTCACCTCACAGGAAAGAACTGGCATGGGGACAAAACCCCCTTCCGCCCGACCGCAGGCCAAACATCCTACACCAAACGCCTAAAGGAACGCAAAGCTCGTGAAGCTATGAAGGAAATGGAGAAGGAAATGAAGGATGAGAAAGAGGCTGAACGTCAGGTGCGTTTCACAGTGCAATTCAAAACGTCCTCATATACTCTTTTTGGGAGTGAAAAAAGAAAAAAATCCAATCAATAACTGATGGTTTGGTTTCAGAGGCGGATACAAGCCATCAGGGATCGCCGGGCCGCCAAAGAGGAGAAGTTGCGATATGAGAAGATGGCAGAGAAGATGCATAGGAAACGGGTTGAGCGGCTTAAGCGCAGGGAGAAGAGGAATAAGCTACTCAGTTCTTAAGTGCCTGGTGATCTTTATAATACATCTGCTTTTGCTCTTGGTTTTTTTATTTTTATTTTTATTTATTTTTTTAACCCGGAGTTTATTATTTTAAATTTTTCTGCGTACGGACTATGAGGAAATGATGTTCCAGTCCGCGCGGTATAGAAATAAAATAACGCATTGCCACGGGGAGTGTGCGGCCTCGACCTGTATCTTCTTCACATGGGCATTAGCAATGCCGCTTGGCGGGATAGCGTGGTTATATAGGGATGCTGGGTGCTTAGTGTGCCAAGCGCCGGACGAGTGAACGTAGGATGCGATGCGGACTACATGATTCTCTCCATGTCGTGAAGAAAGGGGATACTACTAGTAGGAATGACCCGCAGAAATCAAACAACCCGCACCCAACCGGTTGCTGCATGACTTCTGCTAACAAAGAAAACCAACGGTCAGCATCCGCACCGAGACAAACGACAATGACTTTCCCTCCCTCTGCGGCGGCGGCGGAATCACCCTTAACCCATGGTTCAGCACGCTCCAGCGCCCAAGTTCCCTGTGCCACTGATGACACTATCGATATCAACGATAAGCGCTCCTCAATAACAGGCCCTAGCCGTCGACGGCTGCATCCACCACCACCACCGCCGAGAATCTATACACACTTTGCCCACTACAACACTTTCTTGCTACCAGACGACTCCTCGCTTCCCCACAAGCCGCGCCATCGTCGCCGGCATTCTCCGAGGCATCGTGACCTAAACCACCCGCACTCTCACTCCAACTCTCAGTCCTTCCCCCACCGCCAGCTGCATCCTCATCTTCACCATCGGCAGGAGGGGCAGCAGCAGCAGCAGCAACAGCAACAGCAACAGCAACAGCAACAGCAACAGCAACAGCAACAACAACAACAACTTGACCCTAGTTTGTTAGACGAATACCCTAATCGCAACAAACCTGCCACGTCTTCAGAACTGAAGAAAGAGAAGAGCACATATCGCCATAAACGCCATGGGTCACGGGGTGGCCGCTTTCCAAAAACTGTGCGGAATCATGCGAGTATGAGTTTACGACCTGGGAAGCACGCGAATAGGGATAAGGGCTCTCGCGTGAACGGTGTGGGGGAACCTGGCGTGGTTAACACTACTGTTGCGACACAACATTCTGAGACAAATGGGCTGGAGACGAGCGATAGTGGTAACAGTTCTCTGGAGGAAAAGCTCCCGTTTAGGAGACGGAGGGAGAATGTCACCATGGCGGAAGTGAGGAGGGAGAGGAGACGGAGGATGGAGGAGGAGGAGTCAGTCTACACAACTCCAACCAACATATAAACACATACAACAAACGCATCCACTAACATATCACACCAAACAGATCAAACCGTGCCGCGCTCACAACTCTCTCTGCCCTCTCTACTACCATAACCCGCCGCCTTGACACAACCTACTACACCCTCCTCGAGAAAATCGCCAGCCTCCACTCAACAATCTATTCCTTCCATACCCTCTCCACAGCAGCCTTCTCCCTCCATTCAGACTTCACCCGAGAAACCGACAATCTGTCCCGTGCCACCACAACACAAATCGACGAGTTCCACTCTGCCTTCACTCACCAGATCCAACGCATCGATGCCCTCGAGATGCGCATGCGAGCTGGCGCGGAGAAGGCGGAGGCGCTGAATAGGCGCATGGAAGTTGTGCGCGGCAAGATTGAGGCATGGGATCGACGGGAGGGAGAGTGGCAGAGGCGGGTTACGACGCGGCTAAGGATTTTTTGGACAATAGTTGGGACGGCTGTGGTTGTGCTTGTCGTTGCGTGGGTGGTTCAGCAATTGAGACCCGTTGAGAGCTCCGTGGGTAAAGGGATCGGGATTGGAGATATGGATACAGGGATAAGTCTGTCCGCAGCGAATTCGACGTGTGAGCTGGGTGGGCAGGGTCTTCGGGATGGAAAGTCTGTTTGGGAGAGTACGTCGTTTGAGACAAGTAGTGAGGATACCTGTTCGAGGCAGTCGCTTCAGGAATGAGAGCTATGTGTGTATAGGCTATTCATTCCATTTGGGCGACCTACCTAGTGACATGCGGCATTGATAATGAATTTCGTCCAGGTCTTACTAGTACTTAATATGGCGAACAGTGCATTTAGCGAGTGAAGTTGCATCATTAGATTATTACTAGAGGAGACGATTATGTAGTTTATGTATGAAAAACCGTAAATAAGAGACAAAAATGTCGTCCATTCGTTGTATATCAGTATTGCCCGTCAAAAAATAAAAAGAGGCAGCGTAAAACAGCGTCTCTAATCATGAAAAGTCATTAACTAGATGTATTTTAGACATCCATCCAACCAAAAATCCCGCCTTCCCGTATAAATCAAGAAAAGAAAGCCGACAGAGGCAAAGGAATCAAACAACCACCAATCCCTAAACCATCCTCCCAACGAGCGAACGTACTCACTCACCCGCCCGCCCCAGCCTTCTTTTTCTTATCCTCCACGAGCTCCACATTATCCTCCGGCACCTTATCCCCATGATTACTAACTAGCCATTCTAAAATCTCCTCACTAACATCTCCCTGCACCGTGATCTCTTCCCCAGAACCCCCCTGCGCCGTCGACGCTACGCCAGACACAGCCTTCGTCACCGAGCTTCCCGTCGCAAATTTCTTCCCCAATTCCTTCGCGATCTTTTTGATATCCAGGCCATGCGCCTCGAGCCCGGAGACGATGGTGACGTATTTTCGTTTATTGCGCTCGACGCGGCGGATTTGGATTTTGGCGGCGGCCTTGCGTTCTTTGTCGCGGGATTCCGCAAGGGCTGCTTTTGCTTCCTTTTTCGCGGCGTCTTTGGCCGCGCGTTCGCGGGCGGAGAGCGAGAGGGTGTTTAAGTTTGCGGTTATGGCTTCTGTTTTTTTTTTTTTTTCCAACGGGAGGGGTGGGTGTTGGGGGTCCTTGGTCAGTTTACAGTTTCTTTCTCTTTTGGCTTTTATTTCGGGTCGGTGGGTGTGTTTCATGTTGGAGTCCGAGGGGGTTAACAGGTTCCAGGGGGATGGGGAGAGGGAGAGGGATGGGAGGAGCAGCAGGATTTAGAATTAGGATTGAAGAGGAGGGAAGAGGAAGGAAGAGGAAGGATACCATCAGAGTATAATCGCTCATGTAAATCCGGATGGTTATCTTTCAGCCATTCCTCGCACTTCTTCGCTATCCCGCCAAACTCGCAATACTGCATTGGATCAACACCCTTAGCGTCCAATGCCTCTTTCGAAGTTGTGAAGCTAGCAGTTTATGAATTACGGATTCCGGTAGAATGTAGAGCTGCGACACACCTCAGGTGGAAGGGAGCAAACTAATGAAAATGTCGGACATTAGCCACATGGTTATATAAGTATACAGGACATCTAGCGGAGTTTTTGTTCTCATAGCGGGGAGATGTGAGGGGCGTTGATTTTGGGGGATGGAAGACTAACCTCCGCAGTACACTATATGTCTTGCTTGGGGTTCAGGGGCGGCGGCCGAAGCTTCATGATCCCCTGTATTTGTCATATTGCCTGGGTGGTTGAATAGGAGGAGTTGTAGGAAAAATTGTTTAGATAGATGGCCCCTCACAACTTATGAACAGTTACGGTTTGGAGGTTATCGGATTATAATATTTCCGTATTTCCACCTCCCAGATTGACTTCATGGAAAACGGATCACACCAAAAAGCATTTTTGTTGCCAGACGCCTTAAGCATCCTTGATCTCAACGTCAATGAATAAGCAGAAGTTACCGTTCCCGCAATACGTTTCCACTACTGTCCCTAAAACAATCAACCGTGGCTGATACGTGGATGAGATCTCCACACTTGTTCGTGCCTAATCTCCTCCATCAAGCTTCGTGATGCCAGTGACGCGGGGAACGCTACATCACTGGATTAGGCTCCCAAGCGCTTCGCGTGCGGCACCGTCCTAAGTTTATGACAACTTATCTTCTCGCCTCGCACTGTCAGAGTATTTTAGTGTCCTCTTGCCTGTTGGTTGTTCCAGCCATACACTTGGCTAGGAAGTGCCTAAACGGTCGTATCAATTGGTCAGAGTTGGGTGTTGATACATGTAGGTGCGGAGAGAGCATATTGTTTTTGAATGTGGCGAACAAGGCGTCTTGTTACTAGAGACACCAAATAAATATGGACTCGGACACGTCCGCTCCCAAAAATGTGTATTGTTGGGGTTACATCTGCCTCAATTCTTTGGAAAACTACCAAACAGATGACTCCGGACAAGTGACCTTTGTTGTCTTTCCCGGAGAGAGAAGCAATATAAACGGACGCTGTTCTCTGCCCAAATGTTGCACAAAAACAAAATCCTTTCGAGCATCGACTTCCTATCGCCTATTGCCTACTGCCGCTGTAAACTCTCATACATTCCAATATCCAGCTGGTAGGAACGCAATCGTCCCTACCTCCAAGATCGCCCTATCCAAATTTCAAAGTTCCTTTCACTCCTCGAAACAGCAGCTTTGCCCGCTCATTTGCACACACCATCTATCCCTGAAAGCAACAAAATATGCCTTCAACCACAGTTTCTTTTAAAATCCTCGATGACGAAAGCATATTTGAATTCAAGCAGTAATCAGGGGACATTGGAATACCAATAAGTCATAATAAGAACAGATGAGAATCTGTGGGATAACTAATATTTGTTCGTCGTGGTGGTGGTGGTGGTCGCGTTAGCCCTGGGTTTTTCGTTCAATCAGAATCCTTTTGGCTTGTCCGCACGATTCGCCAGTTGTTTCATCAGGTCGTCGATATTGATATTGGAGATAGGATCTTGACCAGTTGCGTAGAACTTATCAAGATGTGTTTGAACGAAAGCCTTCTGATAATTTCGTAAACCGATGAGGAACAGGTCGTGGTAGATATCTATTGGATCTCCTGCGAGTTCTTTGTGACGAGCGACGAGATAGCGAAAACGACGTTCGTATAACAAATAATTGTTATTTTTTACGTGCAAGGTAGTTAGCTCTTTGATGATATTGAGGCGTTCTTCCGCTAGGGATATTCCGTATACTGCTGCTATTTTTCTCCATAGGGCAGCTGCGTTATCTAGTTCTAAGGTCCCAATTGTCGGTCGAACGAGACCTGTTAGTGATTGCAGCATGCGACGAAAGAGTATCTTCTTGCGTATCAACCAACGCTCCTTTTCTAATGCTGATAGGTATTCAGGGGGCATCTCCTGGTTCTTGGTGAGTATGTCAATGCCACCTATCACCTCTGCGTCCACGAGGATGTCATTCCTCCAAGTTTGGTAGTCGGTTCCATCGAATGTGGTGACAGCTTTGGTATTAATTGAGGCTCGGACGTCCCTCTCATACCTTGAATTGTCCGCAGGGGTATTATAATTTTGATCTTGACGCGCGGATATTAGCCGTTGACAGAATGCCATGAGATCGGCAGCAGTCAGTGTGATTGTGCTGTTGGCAGTGAAGGTAGGCATAAGGATTGAAAGAGGACTTGGGTTGCTATCTTCTTCTGATTCGTCCTTTACGGGCCTCTCGCTAGTATCGCAACTCGACCTGGATGCCTTCATCGCGTCTTCTATACCAACGCGTATTGGGTTTGATCTTCTGAAGCGGATTCTTGACTTGGGTCCTACTCGTATTCTTCTTCTTCGTACACCGGAGGGAATGAGACCTGCGCCTTTGAATGAGAACGTAGGGATCTCTTTTGATCTGATTGAGTAGTAGGAATTAATCTTCTCACTTGATCATTACAACCGGGGTATCATATGAAAAACGAGATAGCGACAAGAGAAATGTAGAGAAATCTCTCATGGGCTTTTGGGCAGATTTTTTTTGCTGGGCACCAGTAGCCACTCCACGCGATGAACCCCTATTTCGTGAACTAACTTAACTAACTGCTTGCAGCTTAGTTTATCAGCCGCTATTTGCTGTTTCGAGTTATGGTCAAGGCGGATGACTTCTCATAGAAAAACAGGATACTCTTATCTCACAACCGTGATCACAGGCAACAACCCTCATATCTACCCACTCTGACTTGAGGGTTTCCTCTGCTGTGGTCGCTGTCCGGCCACAATACCAATATTTAGCGAATCAAACCGAGGGTATGTAGCAGCCGTTTCAACCGTTTCAAACACGCCCATTCGACGCTTTCGTCGATATCATTGTACGCCTTCCTCGAATGCTTCATCGATTGGAGGCCATACATCCCGGTATTCTCTTGGGTGTCCATCATGGTTGAAGAATCATGATCTTCCCCAGGCCACAAGCTTCCCCTACGCCATGAGCTTCCCCATGTTATGTCAGCAGTGCAGACGGTTGTATTGCACGGCAGACATTCTCTACGAGTTGGGGATGAGCATGGGATAGAATCCATAATTAGCAGAAAAGCTTTCTATGAGGTCCCTACACATGTGGTTAAGACGCTGTCTTAGTGCTCGTGCCGCCACCGGAGTGATACTTTCGGTTCTTGTTGGAGTGTGGACAGCTGAATAGATAGTTTGACACAGCTTGGGGTATAGAGATTGTGAGGAAATGGCGAATCTAAATCCAGCTCCCGCTCCTTGACTTATACCATTATCCCCACTTCCCTCCATCCACGGTCTTCGGCTAGCGCCATTACCCAGGCTTGCCACCACTGCACTGGCATATGCCACTGTCCTTACTTGTACCAATGTTCTGAAACTCGCATCTTAGCCTGGCTTGTTCAATTCCTGGGTATCCTTTTCCTCGCTTGTGCCATGCTATGGCAGTGTGACATAAGCCAGGGCACGGTGGTGAGCCTGGGCTCTTGACTGCATAAGCAGCGACGTAAAGAAGACAGCCGGAGGGAAAGAAGTGGAGATGATGGATAGGCCAACCATAGGATAAGCTAAGAAGTGGGAGCCAGATTTAGGTCTGGTCATACCGATGCGGTATATTAAAATCGTTGATGGAATTATTGGGTTTCAGAATCTTGTTGTTTCACCTAGTTCACTGCCCTGTAACTGAATATTGCCTGTCGAGCCTCACTCTCGATCAGAAATGCATGCATAAAATGGCCACATCCTCCTTAAATCCTCACGGTCATTGTCGTCCTCCATATTGGCCATAAGTTCATCAAAGAAGTAAGTGTGAGCCCGCTTGACGTCTTCCCAGCGATCCACACAAACCCAGCCGTCGCTCTCCACCCATGTCTCGATCATATCCTGCGAGAATTACAACATCTTCTCGTAAATTTCCAGCTGTTCTTTGTATACAATACATGTTCCTCAGCAGTTAGGGTGCGGATTGGGCAGGGCGTTTTGAACCCAAGCTTCCCGCAACCCTCGTTTTAACCGCATTAATTCGGTCGTAAATGGCACAAAGCTATCCCCCCACGTCCGGTGACAATAGTTGAACGGCCGGAGAAGGCTTTGGTCAATCTTCCTGGTTGCACCTAGTTGCAGAGCTAACATAGTCCACCCTAGCTCATATGCTTGGTAGCAGAGACTTGTTTCAACGTTTTCTGATGTTCCCCCTGAGGGGATGCTTGCAAAGTCGGGGAAATCGTGAGCGTGCTCAAATGCCGGTTCGACACTGGTGGACTGCCAGTCTATGAAGCCAGTGATGGTTGTGGGGTCATCCCTGGAGACAAAAATGTTCCTCTTGTGTGGGTCCGGGTGGAACAGAGTGGGTGTAAAGTTGGACAGAATTGTTGGGCGTTTTATAAGATTGGAGAAGACAGCATGCCCATTCTTCAGCAGATTAAAGTGTTTGTGTTTGTCCATGAAGACTTGGTATGATGCGCGCTGCTTGAAGATGGGGATGGTCTGGTGGAGGCAGTCTTGCAAAGCCAACGTCGATCAGAGCAGAAGCGTATGAGAAGAGATCACGCCCTAGGAAGCCAGTTAATTTTCAAAATTATACTAGCAAGAGGAATAAAGGTCATCTTACATGGCCTTCTGTTTGGTTCTTCGATATAAATATTTCAGTAATCCCAAAAAGTTCTTTTGCAGTGTGGTCTAACACAAAATGTAGAATCATTCTCAAGCTTCTGCTTTGAATCGACGTCGAGAAATGCCGTGTCCGTGAAATAAGGCTGCCATTGGATATCGGTGCAATACCTGTATAGATTGCATCAATCGTCTTTACTTTCTTGTCTGATAGTAGCTCATTCCATACTTTCTGCAATGCAATTTTACCTGTATGTTCCAGAATAATGTATGCAGAGCCAATTGGGTTCGATGGGTCATCACTCCAGTCCAGAGGAGCTGGAATTGGTATTTTGGTGGGGTGTTGCACAATAAGGACATGTTAATGCTCAGGCTTCAACACCTTATATCTCTTATTCTTACGGTAAGTGATCGTTGCAACTTCTGAGTTAGTCACATATGGCGCTGGCCCAACAACGGACATGGGAAACTCCACAACGACATGTCTCCCATTGTTGGTTTTCATAATGAATGCTTTATTAAACCCTCCCTCTAGCTTCAAATTCTTCTGAGAGAGGAGTACACTCTGACGAAGTCTACATGTTGGGATAAATGTTAAGTAAAATAGTGGTGATGGGCGTGGAGTTCGGCCAGGTTGTGGGGATATCAGACCAGATCTTCTAAGCGAGCAGACAGTAAAAGAGCAATAGTTCAATGGCTACAATAGCAATCCCACTACTCTCGCCATCACTATGCCAAATTCCTTGATGCCATCGAAGTGCCGGCCGATGCTGGGACGCTAGGGCGCATAGCGATGGTTGGCTGAGGTTCACGGGCAAGCTGAGCAGTGGTCGATCCTCCAAACAATCAGGAAGAAGAGGAAAATAGCAATTGATGAACAGCTATTTCAACAAAAGCGGTGAAAGCCCCCAGAGGCGAAGATCAAAGGGTGTATACACAAAACCCGACTTCGCTAAATCTCAAAACTTGATTTGTTTTAATTAACTTCAATTGATAGTTGATAAAGTGGTCACACTCTGTCATAATGCTTGTTGTTTCTGGTATGAGCACGGGCCACCATAGAACTTTAGGGAGGTTTGTTCACAAACGCCACTAACGCTCGTGTCCCGCGCTTATGTAGCCACCAAATTACACTTAAGTCTCTTTGGCACCAAACCTTAACGACAAAATTTTGGCGTTGGTGCTTCACACTAGAAAATATCAGCTTGTAAAAAATCCAACTGCCTGAGGAGACAATGTATATTTTAACGCCCACGTTATCTAAAACGGATACACTCCCACTTCGATATCAAGTGATAGCCCCTGGGAGAGAGGCCGTCGTTACCACACGCACCTCATTGCTGATAGAAATCCCAACATTAAGCTGGCCAAACCCTCCCTGTCACCATTTGGCCGCGAATGCGGACTGGATGACGCGGCTTGGCTCACTTCTTCATCCTTGTCTATTGGGTTATGGAGCATTTGTAAATCGCCCTTGCACGGCCCGCCTTCCCCGTCTTCCATAAGCTGACTACATGACGCCTATAATCCTCCGGCTTAACCGGAAGATAACGTATGAGGCAGTCCCTATGCTACATGCGCGGGAGTTAAGTCACGACAAGTCACAGACTTACTCGATGCCTCTTGGGCGATTCTCTTGGGCAGTCTGCGGATATCACGATGTTCCCTCTCCGAAAGGTTGCTACAGCAGGCTAGACGGGTCGTGTTGGAAATTGCCATTGTTAATTTGGAAAGTAGTTGGGCGTGGACGGCTGATGCATTGTTAGTGTTTGGTGGGTATGCAACCGTTAAAATCATAGCTGTAGACGGTCTTGCAGAAGGGGAACTTCCAACGTTTTTTTTTTTTTTATTTCTTTAGTGCCCGGGATCTAGCCTGAATCTCGAAAAAGTAGTCGCAATTTCGCGATCATACAACGTCAGAAGGGGCTTAAAAGAGTCCTAGTCAAGCTGCATGGCTTGCGAATGCTCGCTTGTCTTAATAGAATCCGGAGATATGCATTTGACGTCATCCTGTGTAATTCGAGGCGGAATTGAAAGTGCTCTGACTTCCCCGCATTTTGGCAAGATACTAATATATGCGGATACTAGCTCTCGGCTTAATTGCGAAAGTATCCTAGATATATCATCCGAAGAATCAACCTAGTCTGCTCATGCAAAACATTTCCTTTTCGCCCATTGGCTCTAAAATCTGTTACGTTTTACTTATGGAATAGGTAGCAAGCAAAATACCATACGACATGAAAGCTTGCGAGTCTGCAAAGGCGCATATATGTATGTGTCAATGCCTCTCATTTACTATCCAGGACACCGGATGTCTGGACGCGAATGCTTTCTTGATATTTTTCCCTGTTCCTGTTTTAAACTAAGATTGGGTGTTTCAACTGTTTCCCAAGCTTTAGTCTCTTGAGTTTGCGGGACCAAAAAGAGTTCACATCCAAAGGCCTTTATTAATGTTCATTTCCGGGTACGAAAATCATTGCCAGTTCAAGACCGCTGTCAATCTGCCACAACCTGTAAAGCAGGTTTCAGCAGGTCAAAATAGCTATATTAGGAAACATGGTTGGGGCAAGTCTAAGATACCCACCCATACATTATGAGATGGGTATGTCAAGTCCTTGTATCACATCTCAATCGGCCAACCTGGCTAATTTTTTCATTATTTCGTTTGTTGTCTCTTTCCTGGGTACTTTCCATCATATGAGACCTGGACATTTGCTTGGCGATTACGTCCACCATAAAATGTGGAGGAGACACCTGGAAATAGGTAAAGGAATAGAAAAGATTTACAAACCCTAGACGTTAAGACTTAACTTTCTTTAGCCAGACCATGTTTATTCGCACCCCGCTTGATTTCTTGTGTGGTACATGCGAAGACCAGTCCACAGTGGGGAAGTTAACATCTAATCCCAAAGTTCTCAACGAGTCCAGATCCACAATATTAACGCGATTAGCGACTACTAGTAGCACAAAGAATCCTGTTCTTTATCTTGGCTTTCTTTAAAATCCGAACGCGGGAAGGGCGGGCGCGAGCTTGTTGGACGTCAGCAGCAAACATTGGAAATCCGGGGTAAATTGGAAATTTGGGACATGGGGTTAAAAAAAAAAAAGAAGAAGAAGAAATAAATGGATGACAGCGACAAATTCCATGGGTTTAAACCCGCACCAATGGCGAAAGCCAGAATGGAGCCGGGGAAGAGGCCTCCTCGAAACCTTTCAAGGACGCAAGAGGGGTGAAAAGTTTTTTTCCCCTCAACTCAAGACTTAAGCTCCAGTCCTTGTGAACCTGAGAATGTAAGGATGAGAACCTTGGAATAATACTCCGTAGAGCGAAGCGAGAAACGATTTTCAGCCACTTATTCAATCATGAAACGCCTTGCAGCACTGGCCGCCTATCAAATCCATGCTCACAGATACAGGTACATGGGCATGGCCTATGGTCTGGCCCTGACTGCAAAAGCGGATTTGGTCGCCCAGGTCAGGGCCTGGAACATTGTGAGAGCAAGTCGTTCCAAGGAAGAAGCCGCTTGGGCTACTCCGTAGTGAGGACTGATGTGGGGTTGGAGAGAGAGGAAGTGACCGACAGCATTCCTTGACGATCCAACCGTGATCAGATATTTCCGCGAGAGAAGAATCAATTTGAAAAATTAATGCTATACACCACTGAAAACTGGAAAAGAAAAAAAGAAAAGAAAAGGGGGGGAATTAAGTAAGAATGTATGTAAGAAGGGAAAATAATTGAAAAAATTAATTGAAAATACTTGAATCTGCCCACACTCAGAATCGAACTGAGGATCTTATCATTACTAGTGATACGCTTTACCACTAAGCCACGCGGGCGTATTTTGCTTCAACAGCGATTAAGTTAAAAACACAAATGATGTCTCGTCTGGTCTCGGCAATCGGCCCAACCAACGGTTAATAGTTTTCCGATGCCAAATGTCCCCACGGCGCAGGCCCAGACGCGGCCAGACGGATGCCCGAAGCCTGATTGGGCCGATGCTGCAAACTCCTCGAGGGGGATATACTTTGCTTGACAAATGAGTGCGCAGCAGCAATTCCTTTTTTCGGTTTCAACTCAGAAGGCACAAATAAAAATACTTTTTGTTTTGGATTTGAAACTGCCCGATCCATGAAGATTACCATGGCCCTCTATGATAAGATGCCACCTTCACTTCGGGACCCAGAGAATTTCCCGCCTTTGGCTCTCTGTTCTAGACTTCACTCCGTTCTGCCCTTAGCGTTGAAAGTTGAAGGCCAGTGGTGGGGTCCGGGAGGCGATTTTGAAAGACTGTCCTAGGCCCGCCCTGTCTGAAGTCTCCAATAATTCTAAAACTCCATGGGGACGAAAACCGGTTCTTCGAGCATTTGCTTTTAGTATGGTTACCATGTTGATAATTTATCGCGATCCCGGCATTTCGGTGAGGGGAACAGGTATGTGCTCTGAATATTCCTACAGAACATGGAGCTGGCTCAGATCGTAGGGTTAATAAACAACCTAAAAACGATAAAATAAAATATATTGCAACAAACCCTTGCCTGGAAGGTTGAACACTGGGTTTAACACTACCATAGATCCGCCCGAGGGGGGGATTGTGTGCTTACTGTGCTTGGTTGTTGGTAGACTCGTGGGACAATTGATTCGTCCTTAGAGCACTATTTTCTATTTCGCCTTAAGGGATCCACACTGCTAAAGGGAGGGATGTCGGAAACTCTTTGCTGATAAGTCCTTCGAATGACGGACAGAGTAGGAACACATACAAGGGGTGGAGATAGTAAAAGCCAGGCTTGTCACACTGCAGGAGAAAATTGGAAGCTTGGAGTCCGCAGGTCTTGGAAACCAGGTTTTGGATATTGAAAGTATCAAGGATCAAAGTATAGTATCAAGTATCATGTATTATGCGTACCACCTGCGCATGTATATCTGAGTGCCGAGATCAGGATGATTATGGCTCATTGGTGATTTGATATCAAGCTGTCGTGATCTTAGAGAGTACTTAGGTAGCTATTTTGCTCGCTAGCTGCTGCAAAATCTGGGGGGTAAATTGAGTTCCATGGCATAGCGGTATGGCTTGCTTTTGTTAAATATGTGAATTGACTAAAACTAATTCAATAGACAAATGGACAGCAATAGTAGTAATGACGATGAGAGCAGGAAAGTGGATGGACCCGAAGGTAATTGATCTCTGTATTATAAGACATACTTGTTTAGGTGCTAGGGGCTAAGGACAAAATGTTCCACAAAAAACATGAGACAAACAGGCATAATACAAAGATACAAGGGCGAAAGAAGCGATCATGATAAGTACATGTATGTACAGTACAGCGCAGTGAGTCTCGACACAGGGAGCAGCAATTGTACTAGGCCAGAATGATAATCGAAGGAGAACCCTTGGCATATAGTTAGTTATAAGAATCTCTTTAGAGAGGGAGAGCTGCACAAACGAGAAACAATCGGAGGCTGCAGGCTCTCTCGGTGGCGTTGAGATAACAATAAGAAGCGGGACAAAAATTTGAAAAATCTAGACTGCCTCCATCGCACACTGGTTTCATCGGACTCTTAAATAATAATAGTAATAGTAGCTCGTTAATAATAATGATATTTACTGGCAGTTCCCCAGTATTCTTCCTCCCTTTGGATCATTCTCACTGCCAATCAGTCCCCACAGCGCTTTGATGCAGAGACTATTTCTAGCTTCTTTCCTTGACCTCTTGAACTCTTGCTGTGATGGAAGTTACTATTCGGTGACTCAAAGGGCGCATCCACTCGCTGGTTCCTCCGTCCACCAAATTCTAAACTCAGTCAGTCGATTACATCACTTCACTTCTTCTGACGCGGCTGGTCTGCACCATATTTGACACGGAAAACGAGACGATTCGCCCCCTACATTGTGTGTGTGATGGCAGCGATATTTTCCTTGTATAACATATCTGCGATCGAGCGCTAGTCCTCTCTCCTCAAGCACCAAGCACATCGTTGTTCCTTGCCCAGTTTTCTGCCAATTTCTCCCCAGTCTGTCGCTTCCTGTCTACTTCTCAAATACTCCGTACTTGACTGCCCATTATCGCGGAACCTCG